CAATCTCGCAATGCACCAATTCAGTACCCACCACTCACATCAGGTGGCTCATCTGTTATCCTCTGTGACTCCAGCTCCAGGGCATCTGGCTCCATGGGTTCACACATGCCCATACCCCTTCCCCACAACACATACATATACACATACTTCAAAATAAGATCAGCCTTTAGAAGAGATGCTGGGGATAGATATACTCTATTTATTTAAACCATGGAAATCTAGAGACTGATTTTAAAGTTGCTCATCAGAAGGGAAGAAAACTGGAGTTCTGGTCCACCCTCACCTATAGCCTCCAGGTAAGAATGTGAATGGGAGAGGAGAAAAGAAACCACAGCTCCCTTCTTGCATTCTTGGCTGGAGACCAGGGTCCCCCTGGTCCTGCTTTTGGGGTTACTGCCCCTAAAGTGCCCTCTATATCCAGTTATCAGTTTTTGTTTTCAAAGAAAGTTTCTACCTGTGCTTTTCCTGCCTGCCTCACCCTTAGCTGGCTCACCTTCTTATCCTTTAGTACAATTGTGAATTTGTCAAAGGCAGAGATAGGATGCTTTCCAGCTTGTCATCCCCATCCTGGAACCCACTGTATCCACCTGGTACCCACCTGTATCCACCTGGTACCCACCTGTATCCACCTGGTACCTACCTGGTACCCACCTGTATCTACCTAATACCTATCTGTATCCACCTGGCACCCACCTTGTACCCACCTGATACCTACCTGGTACCCACCTGTTACCCAGTTCTCATTCACTGATACTTGTTTTAAAGCCATGGTCATGCCCAGCCTCTACTCTAGTGGAGTAGCAGTCATTGATTTCGGTGGCTCAGTCAAGGTGGCTCTAGCAGAGGGCCATAGCAGGCCAGACTGTCTAAGAGCTTTGTTACTTAGCCTCTCTGAGTCTGTGGATTGTAGCATGATTGTTACTTCACAGCTAATGTCCACTTATCAGTGAGTACTTATCATATTTGTGTTTCTGGATCTGGCTTACCTCATTCAGAATGATTTTTTTTGTTAGTTCCACCCATTTGCCTGCAAATTTCATGATTTCATTGTTTGCAACAGCTGAGGGCATATACCCAAAGGACACGCCATCCCGCTACGAGGACACTTTCTCAGCTATGTTCATAGCAGCCTACTCCTATAGTTAGAAACTGGGAACAACCTAGATGTTCCTCAGTGGGAGAATTGATGAAGAGTGTGGTTCTTAGTCAGTTTTCCGATGGTTCATGTTTGGCTGAGCTGACTCATTTCTTTTAGGCCCCAACCCATCAACTGTGTTGTTGTGAAGGTCAAATCATAATGTAGATTCGAGTACCTTTGGTGAAGTTTGCCTGGGTCAAGGTGATGATGGAACCTGCTCAATTCAAAGCTCAGCTCCAGCACTGTGAAGTGATTTCCTCTGCCTGTTCTCAGCCCCAGTCCCTCACCCCTCCCCAAGTGCTTCCTGAGCGCACCTCCATCATAGTCTGCTCCTCTCCAAGTGCTCCCTGAGCATACCTCCATCATAGTCTGCTCCTCCCCAAGTGCTCCCTGAGCATACCTCCATCATAGTCTGCTCCTCTCCAAGTGCTCCCTGAGCATACCTCCATCATAGTCTGCTCCTCCCCAAGTGCTCCCTGAGCATACCTCCATCATAGTCTGCTCCTCTCCAAGTGCTCCCTGAGCACCTCCATCATAGTCTGCTCCTCCCCAAGTGCTCCCTGAGCACCTCCATCATAGTCTGCTCCTCCCCAAGTGCTCCCTGAGCGCCTCCATCATAGTCTGCTTGTATTCAGCCTTCACACTTTCGGTGCTTTGTTTTAAATTTAAGAAACGCCTGTGATATTTATGCTCCGGTAGAATTCATGTTTCAAATTGGTATTGCTCCTTGCCACACTTCCATGCACCATGCCCAACGGTTTTGCAGGCATCTCCTATTAGTCTGTTTTCTTCCTGATATGCTAAAACATGAACAGTTTCAGGATTAAATATGTTGTTCTATGGAAAGGAGTTCACGTTTCTCCAGGGGCTTCCCTGAGGCCATAAGACCATGTTCTATGTTAATAAGTATCCAATACTCAACAGGCATTTAGAAGATGAAGACATAGTTCCTAGAAAATTCTTTTTGTTTGTTTGGGTTTGGGGGGGCGGGTCATGTGAGACACTACCTCACTATGTAACCATGGCTACATAATCCCAGCACTTGGGAGGCAGAGACAGGTGAATCTCTAAGAACTTGAGGCCAGCCTGCTCTACAGAGTGAGTTCCAGGACAGCCAGAGCTACACAGAGAAACCCTGTCTTGAAAAACAAAAACAAGCAAACAAAAAAGAGTAAAGTTTTTTCTTTCTTTGTGTATCTTTTTGGAGATACATGGTTTAGCTGTAGTGAACATTAGTTTACTGTGAATTCAATTTTATAACCTAAGCAGATGGTCTATAAAGTAATGGAAGAGAATGAATGTTTGAAAGAGCTTGGAACAAACATTTTTGTATCATTTATATATCCAATGTTCTTGCTAGAGGCAAATATATAAAATGTTTATAATACTCTTATCTAAAAAATGCAGACTATAAATATATAGAGCATTTTAGTTACTTTTCCTTTTGCTGTGATAAAGTAACCTGGCATGTCTTCAGGAAGGAGGGTGTGTTTAGGCTCACAGGCTGAAGGACAGACCACCATAGCGGGGAAGGCATGGCAGTAGGCACTGGTCACATGGCATTCAGAGTAAGAAAGCAGAGGAAGGACCAGCAGGATGGCTCATTGGATAAAGGTGCTTGGTGCCAAACCCAAGAACCTGAGTTTAATCCCTGGGAACTCACATAGTGAAAGAAAAAACACTGACTCCCTCAACTTGCTCTCTGACTTTGTCAGGGCACTGACACACACACAGCAACCCACACAACACAAAAATATATTAATAAATGTTTAACATGCGTGTGCATGTGCACTTGAACACACACACACACACACACACACACACACACACACACACACACCTGAAACAGAGGGAGAGGGCTGACAGTCTCAGCTCTCTTTCTTCTTTTGATTCAGTCCAGGGCCAGAGCCTATGGAATGGTGTCGCCCACAGTTGAAGTGGGCCTTCTCACTTCAGGGAACCCAATCTAGATAATTCTGTACAGGCATATTCTGGGACTTGTCTAGGTGATTCTAAGTCCTGTTAAGTTGACAAGGCTAACCATTGCACAGAAGATATTAAATAAATGTATCAAAATGCTAACAGGGTTGTGTGTAGGTATGACCATGGAGGATACTTCAGTTGCTTTGAATTGTCTATTTTTTACAGGTTCTACAGAAAACACTGATCATATCACACACACACACACACACACACACACACACACAGAGGCTTTGCCATATTTATGGAGGTCAGGGGACAACTGGAGGGAGTCAGTTCTCTCCTTCTACCATGTGGGTTCTGGGGATCAAACACAGGTCACCTGGCTGGGTATCAAGTGCCTCTGAGCTGTTTCACCAGCCCCTAATCAGAAGACTTTCAAGTCCTTTTTAAATTTTTTAAAAATTACCTATGTACCCAAATAAGTCGAATTCTTTCTGTGATCTCCTCTTCCCAACGCCTCCTGTAATGACTATCTCATGCCCTGGTCTTTTTGTTTTCATGCTCTGAGTTTGTAATAAAGCTGGTTTCACCACCTGGGTCATACTTGTGACAGGAGAGAATGAGATTTTGATTTTGTATAGTATTTAAACCTTGAGTAACAGCCTCCTTCAGCATCCTGTGCAGGTGCAGGTCAGCAACCTATATTTGCAATCTCTGCAAGACCCATTCGTTGCTGTGGCTGGAAGCCTAGCGTCGGTGTCGGCATGCTGAGGGAATCAGTGGAAGATGTATCATGGGTTTTACTACACAGTCCTAAACGTTTTGTGTGGAGAGGTCACTGTATAAATCTTAAATGCTGGCCATGGAGGGCATCTTTTGCACAAACTATTGATTCATTTTTGGCTAGTAGAGAAATATAAGCCTGAGGTGACTTCTTTGGGTTGTGGGTTTTTTGTTTGCTTGTTATTTTTTAATATACATGACAGCTGATTTTGAGAGTTTTTATTGCATCTCTAGTCTTTTGGTGGGGTACGCTTTGTGTGTCGAATTCCCTCTTCACCCCTTAAGACATGCTTGTGCAGGGCGCTCCTCCCTCCTGGGCATTGTCCTCGCTCTTAGCCTCTGGTGAACTTGTCTCGCTTTATCCAAGGCCCCCTGGGATTCTGGCAGGGTAGAATTGTACCTTCCTTTCTTTATTACCCACTCTGTGTCCTGCTCAGTTTGGGGTGTCTGACTGACTAATAATGGGAAGATCTTCAAGTTGGAGCCTGAGTGTCCTCTGTCACACGTTCCTTGGAAGGAGGAAGAGAAGGCTAAAGAGCAGGTTCAAGAATGAGGTCTTTGTTTCAGGAGCCCCCATCTGACCCACTTTGTAACCCCACAACCTACAGGAGGCCTCGCCTGGAGTTAGCTTCCACAAACATTTCCTGAATGAACGAGTGGGGATATCCTGGTAGTAAATACATCCCAGGAATGGTTACTCCGAATGAGAGGGAAATGAAGCATTCTTGGAGGGAGGTGATGGTTCTGGCACCACACCTCAAAGAATATGTCTGTTTCTTATAAAAGCTTCCAATGAGAGAAACTGAGACATACTTCGTTCAGACAGCTGATGCCACTGTCCAGACCCAGTAGGTAGGGGGTCACTTTTGTAAGCCACCAGCACAATGCAGAGCCTTATTCTTTTCTGCTGAGGTGCTTCTGGCAAGATTGGCTCCCCAAGTTATTGCATTAGGTCTAACCTATTCCAAAGGGATGGGTGGCTGACACTGTCATTTGGGCACTGAGAAATATTTGTCTAGACGTTTGATCCAATCTGTATTTTTATTTAATGTGTAATTAGTGAGAAAATAACAAAGACACATTTAAATGCATGCGCCTCTAACCTTGTCTCGGTGTCTGAGCCCTCATTCATCATCGTTATCTCGGATTCTTGCAGCCAGCCAACTTCATAGGAAAGCAAGCGCTGAAGCAGATTAAAGCCGAGGGCCTGAAACGGAGACTTGTCTGCCTCACCTTGGCAACAGAGGACGTGGATCCGGAGGGAAATGAAAGCATTTGGTACAAGGGCAAGGTAGGTGCCAGGGCCACCGCGTCACCCACGACGCGACTTCTCTGTGCACCACTAAGGTGTGTTTTTTAAAATTTATTCACTTGTTGAAAGGATGGCACACTTTTAATTCCTGAGCTGACATTAAAGAAACAGAAAACAATTAACTGACAAGAGATTGAAATGCTGCTCACCTTTGTAAACAGAAGAAGCTACGTGAGTTTGAAAATACATAGCCCAAGATTTTAAGTACATTTATATCTGTGAAAGCAAAAGATGGATTTTAGTAAGAATTTGGTATTCTGATTTAATTTCCCAGGGATCTCTTTAAAAGATACAATTAGCACAGCAACCACAAATCCAAATGGACACGTCATGACAATGAGGATTGGAGCTTAGACGGTGACATGAGAAGGAGCCACCATTTGGTTCTTCAGGAAGAATACGAGTGCCATCTTCCAATTTGGCCTTGTTCATGCCCTTCCTGAAGTTCAGTATAAACAGGGTTAGTGGGAAAGCCCGCCCACAGGACTCCATTTCCTTCACCGTTTCTGTCTGTAAAGCCCAGTGTGGTTCAGCTTTGGAATGTGGTTTGCTGGTGTGGGATGCTTGTGAGATGATGGGGGGGGGAGAGCTCTGAGCCTCTTCTAGGAGCTATTTATTCTATGTAGAGCGGGGTCAGCGTCATCAATGCGTAAAGCTCAGAGATCTGGACGTGTGACTTTTCTCATCTACTGCAGCATCTCTGACTTTCATTTTCATTTTTCCCATCTCTTTTGGGTACATAGCTGTAGTCGGGGAACCTGTGGCCTCAAATCATAACCTCACTGAACACACATGCAAACTAAGGTGCAAGCCTTACGACAGAACTGATGTGGTTGAATTACCCCTACACACCAGATGTTTTTCATGTTTGCTCATTTAGTTTTACAGCACCCCTGCTAGAATCGTGTGACTATTTCTGTTGTAAAGACGAGGTCTTGGGGCTCAGAGAGAACGGGTAGTGATTGGTTGATGGAACTGAGTTCACTCCAGCTTTGATTCTTGACTCTTTCCCCTAAAGACTGCAGACTATTCCAGTTTGTGCCTCACTGTCCTTGCTGGTGTACGTAGCAGGAATAATAAGAACCCAGTAGCAGATATTTGGGTTCAAGCTGAAGATCGGAAAAGCAAAACAGCTGGCCACTGGCTCTTGCCTCTACCTCAGGCTGAAAGGGCTGTCCTGTCCTCAGTGTGGCTGGAGATAAATCTCTGAGACTGACTTTACTTCTTCCTCATAAACCTCTCTAGTCCTGGGATTAAAGGTATGAGTCCTGTTTCTCTTTTAGACTGATTTGCCTTGAACTCACAGAGATCTGTCTGCCTCCATCTCCCGAGTCCTGGGATTAAAGTTGTGTGCCACACTGCTTGGCATCTATGGCTTGTGGCTGGCTTTGCATTCTGAACCCTCAGGCAAGCTTTATTAGATCATCAACAATATATCGCTACAGGTGATGTCTAGGTACCCCTAAAGTCACTTTACAGCCTAATTACATGCCACAGTTCCACATCTGAGCATGTCACCACTCAGCAGGCTTTCCTCAGATCTCTAGCTCCTTTCTGCCATCCCCACCAGGCTGTGCTTCACTTCCTGTCTCAGCCAGGGCTGAGTTTGCTCTTCTGTTTGAGACGTCCCTTGTGGCTTTTCCTTCCTCTTTCCTCCCTCTATTTTTGGATCCCCTGGAAATAAACTTACAGATAGTTGTGAGTCACCATATGAACACTGAGACTCAATCCCAGCAGCGAGTGCTCTCAGCTCTGGGTCATCGCTCAGCTCTAGACTTCATTCCTTAAAGCATGCTGTTAGCTAGGAACTCTGGTAATCCCAGCACTGGATAGACCGAAGCTGGAGGATCATTGGTTTAAGGCCAGCCTGAGCTCTGCAATGACTTTGAGGCCAGCCTGGGTTCTTCCTCCAGTCTCTAATTTCCCCACAGTTGACATGATTTCCACCAAGTACCAGTTCTGCTAGTTACCAGCTTCTTGATTCAGTTTCTCACTTCAGTTTCCTGCCTCTGGACAGGATAACATCTTTGGCTGTCTTAGTCAGGCTTTCTATCTCTGTGACGAAAAACCATGACCAAAAGCAAGTTGGGGAGGAAAGGGTTTATTTGGCTTATATTTCTACATCACTGTTTATCATCAAAGGACAGGAACTCAAACAGTGCAGGAACCTGGAGGCAGGAACCGATTACAGAGGCCACAGAGGGGAGCTGCTTACTGGCTTGCCTTCCCTGGCTTGCTCAGCCTTCTTTCTTATAGAACCCAGGACCACAGGCTCAAGGATGGAACCATCCACAATGGGCTGAACCCTTCACCATCAATCACTAATTGAAAGAATGGATCTCATGGAGGCATAGGATTCCCTTCTTTTAGATAACTTCAGGTTGCGTGTCAAATTAACATAAGGTTAGCCAGCACAATGGCTCTATCTCTAAACTTTTTCTAGTCATTAATCCCCCAACTTTATCTTTCCTTTGTTTTATTTTTTTACTTTATCCTCATCTAAATTCATCAGCATTTCCTAATATGTTTGTGTTAATCAGTTGTGTTAATAGCTGTGACCAAAATACCCAAGAGACCAACCCACAGGAGGGAAGAATTCTTTTGGCTCATGGTTTCAGAGAGCCCAGTCCTCTGCTGCTTGGCCCCGTACTCTTGATCAGAACATCATGGCGGGGGGTGGGGGGGTTGGGGGGTGGGGAGGGGAGTAGAGCAAAGCAGGTTTTCTTTGCTTCATGGTGGACAGGCAGAAGATGGAGGAAGAAAGCAACAGGAAATGGCCAAAGCAAGATGGAGGCCCATGGACACATTCCCAGTGATCCACTTCCTCCAATTAGGCTCCACCTCCCACCTTTCCCTGCTTCCCGGTCATGCTGTCATACTACGGATCCATCAAGGCACTATTCAGCTGATGAGATAAGAGTCCGCATAATGCAGCTTTGACTGGAAACAGTCTCATAGACTTATGCAGAGCTGGGCTTTGCTAATTTCATGGGTGTTTCCTAATTCAAACAAGCTGTCAATCAAAATCAATCCTTGCAGTGGTCTTCATTACCCTCCCATCAACATTCTGCTTTACTCAGGCATGGATGCTGGAGATGTCATGCTCACACAGTCTCTCTGCAGCTCCATTTCAGTCACGATCAACTGTGACAGACTGACTTCTGGCCATAGTAAACATGCTCATACCCAAACTAAAGTTAGCAAACTTGAAAATCCAAGCTCTACCATAAAGTTTTATTTTTTTTTTTGGACACTGAGTTTATATTATATATTTTTTTCTTTTATTGTGATCTAGAGATAGGATCTCATGTTACAGAGGCTGGCCTTGAACTCACTCTGTAGCTAGGATGACCTTGGACTTCTGATTCTCCTTCCTTCCCGGTGCTGGCGTACAGGAGCACGCCCCGTACCCAGCCACATGCTGACCTGAGCCCAGGGCTCTGCGGATGCTGGGCAGGTGCTGCTCCATTTGTCTTTGTCTTTCTTACCACAGGCCAGCTGCCGATAGAGTTCTAACCCAATTACAGGACCCTCCCTCTCAAACTGGCTAACAGAAGCCTGTCTGCTCTTGATGCTTTGTAAGGTCAGCATTTTTATCAAGCTAACGGCCTCCTTTTTTAAAATTTTCATTTCCAAAGATCATCCTTTAAAAATGTTTTGTAAAGGTTTGAACTGACACACCAATTACGTATATTTAAGAGGGGCAGTGTGACACTTCAAAGCCTGACACAATGTGTGGTGATCATTTGAGGGTGATTGGCATCTCCATTATCCTAGACATTATCATTTCTTTGTTTTGAGAGTGCTTATTTATGTTTGCTTGGTTGGTTTTTTTGGTTGGTTTTTTTGTTTTTGTTTTGTTTTGTTTTGTTTTTTGTTGTTGTTTTTTTTTGGTGATGGGGCCCTGGCTATCCTGGAATTTGTTATGTAGAGCAAGCTGGCCTCACCTGTCCCTTCTCTCATGCTGGGATTAGAGGCAAGTGTCACCGTGTGAGGCCATTTAGCAACACGTAGAACCCTCTTTGCCAACTACCAGAGTTATCAAACATTAACACAAAAGAACCACTCTTTACACACTAGGGGAGAAGGGGTGGGCAGAGACGGAAGTCCATGAAATACATGCCTTTGGAAAAGCAGAGTGCAAGTGGGGGCTGGGTGGTGCCTGTATTTAAATATGGTTCAAGTTTTTAAAAGTCAAGACACAGGGGCACTTTAGTTCTGAAAGACCCGTAGGGACAAAGGATGTTTTTAGGAAAAGACTCATTGAAAAATCTAGAGAACTCAGGAGTAGTGGGAGTGGCCACTGTCATTATCATTGTCCTCTTTTTCTCTTCCCCCTGTTCACAATTTGCATAAAGAGCACCAGGTACCACACAACTTTAAGGGGATCACGCTTTTGAAAGGTCATTTCCCATGCTACCCTACATCAGTCAGAGACTTAATTTAAGAGACAAATTAGAAAGGGCTAAAAAGAAATGAGTGTATATAACTTTGGTTAAAAACAAAACCCAAGGTCAATGTTCCAATAAACGAAGAGTGAGGATCTACTCGGTGAGGGTAGGACAATGGCCCTTACATTGTTCTGGATGAGAAGGGATGGGTCTACTTGAAACCAGAGGATTAGGGTAGATTGTGCTAGAGAAAAAAATCTCTGTAGATTTTATAACTAAGATAGAAGGAAAGGTTAGGCTTTGTAGAAATAAATGTAGGCTAAAGAAGTAGAAATGAAAGCCAATGCTAGCATAAAACAAAGGACATTTAAAATCAGCACTCAAAACAAACAGTTTCCTTAGGTGACTAAGGCAGAAGTGACTGCGTGGCATATCCCCCCCGGGGATGTTAGGAGAGGCAGCTTGGCTGAGGAATCTCTAAAGTGGTTGAGGGCTGGTGACCAGTGAGTCAGGGGACTGTACCCACAGTCACCCAGAGTTCTTCCTGCTTAAGTGGCTGAGGCAAACTAGGTCAAATTTCCCACCTCCCAACACAAATCTCTGGTTACAGACTTAGAAATGAAACCAAAGTCTCCAAGACAGTCTTTAACCCCCACCCTCTTGGACCCAAATCAAGGAGAAAAAGAAACTTCAAAGCACAAGCTGTATTTTAGCTGTCAATATCATAGGGCAGGGGAAAACATCCAACTCCCTTGTTTTTGTCTTTAATAAGCAGTTCTCATCAAAAGCTTAGAATCTCATGGAGACCGTCTGATTCGGAGTTTCCAAGAGGTAGTTAAAAACCCAGACCTCCAAGATAAGGGTCTACAGTTGAGTTCGTAAGTGTATCAACATCTGTAACACTAGAAACAATTTGAGCTAAACTGAGCTCTTGTCTGAGGGACCAGGTAGACGCATGCTGTGAGTGTTGACACCATAGTGCTGGACAGAGGGACAGCAGGATGCTATGAGACCTCAAGTGTGTTTGTTTGTGTGTGTGTGTGTGTGTGTGTGTGTGTGTGTGTACATTTCATTATGTATCATACTTCACTTTTGTTGTATTCTATTTTTTTGCCAAGCAGTGTTTTGATTTAACAATTTGTTTTGAATTCTGATTTCTCCAAAAAGAGTTTTTTATTTTATATGTATGCCTGTTTGCTTGTACGTCTGTATACTTACCACGTGTGTGTGCCGTGCCTAAGGACCTGAAGAGGGTGCCAGCTGTAGGAGGTGGAGTTACAGGCAGTTGTGAGTCACAGCACATGGGTTCTGGGACAGAAAAGCAAGTGCTCTCAACTGCTGAGCCGTATCTCCAGCCCAGCATTCTGCTTTTATTTCTCTGTCATCCCTTTCCTTTAGATCTAGCTTGCTCGAAACCTCTGATCTTCCAATGAGACTTACTGCATGGGTTTTGTTTTTTGTTGAATAAAACCCTTGTTTTCATCCCAGGGTTTTGATGGCTTAATTGGTGTTGTTCACACCCCCAGTTACCTTGAAAGTCCCTGTTTTCGATGGTTCATTTATTTGCCCATTGCTAACTGAGGTAGGGTGCAATTTCACCCAATACATTTTTATTGACTTACCTATCTATTGCTGGTTGTAGCTTTTCCTCCTCTGGAGTCTTTCATCCTCCATTTCTCCAACCTAATCTACCTGTTTTCAAATTATAAAGTCAATCTTTCATGGTTTAAGCCATGGCTGTCTGGTTCTTTTTTTCTTGTCGCTCTGTTAACTCCCCCCAGCTAAGCTGGAAGCTCTTAAAGATGGGTACCTGGACTCTTACTCATTTCTGCAGAGTCTAGGAAATGAGGTAAAGCTAACTGTTAACATCACACCTTACCTGCCTGCGTGCCTTGTAATTGGCATGGTTGAATGCACCCTCCCAGACTGGACTTCTTCAACCAATAATAGTGCTGGTGAGAATGTGAGAGTCAAAGACACCTCATACACTGTCGGTGGGGAGCTGAACTATGGACACCAGTGTGGAGGTTTCTCAAAAACCAAAATCAGAATTATAGCCATACCACTTGTGAGAATATACAATGGAATGGCAGTCAGCACACCACAGAGATACCACACCCAGGATCAGCAGTATTCACAACAGTAAACACGGGATCTCCTTAGGTACCCATCAAAAGAGGGGAAGAAAACAGTACAAATATCCAAAGAAGAAGGTGTGGAATCAGAGATTATTATGTTAAGTGACAGGAACCAGACTCAGAAAGACAATGTTTGCTTTCATCTGTGGAATATAGGTTGAAAAAATATATGTAAATAAGACATGAAAGTAGGCAGGGAACAAATGGAGAAGAAAGGGACCAGCAGGAAGGGGAGAAAGGAGGGAGAGGAGGACATGATGTGCACGTGCAACCATTTCCGGACGAATTATATTCTGTACAATGAATAGATGCTAATAGCCCCCTATCTATTGTGAACCTGCTTTGTAGCTCGAGAAACATCTGGAGACAGGAACACAAAGCTCTGCCCATTATGCTGACATACTGAGGACAGCTATTCTTCTTTTCCAGGTGGTTGGCAACACAACATCTGGAAGCTATAGTTACAGCATCCAGAAGAGCCTGGCTTTTGCTTATGTCCCTGTGGAGCTCAGTGAAGTGGGACAGCAAGTGGAGGTTGAACTGCTGGGTAAAAATTACCCAGCAACCATCATTCAAGAACCCCTGGTACTCACAGAACCTGCCAGAACCAGGCTGCAGAAGGATGGTAGGAAGATGAAGGAGCCGTTCCCAGCTGGGCAGTAGCTGACAGGACTGCTCAGGAGTCCTGCTCCAACGAGGATAAAGGTTGTGAAGGCTTCATTTCAAAATCTAGATCAATATCTTAGTAAAAACTCTTTCTGAATTGTTTTCTAAATGCAGTGGCTTGAGGAATTGGTGATTCGTGTTGTTCATTCAAATGAGGAATTTAAGATGAACATTTTTTATTACCCTAAACTGATGTAAATGAAACCTGATCAGAGAAAGATTAGGTGTTTGCTGATATGAAATTGCAATTGTAATGGAATTAAAGGACATTGTGATTTTAGAAACACGGTATGTGGCTAATAGCTGAAAACAAGTGGATAAATTATCTTTTACATATACAGATGCAAGGACCTGGATGGGTTTTCTTGTTTGAGAATTTTTTCCTTGGGTGGGTAAGTGGTAGTTTTAAATTTTCATAATGTGTCTATGGTGGAAATAGCTGTATTTATTATCAGTTTGTCACATACATTCTTATACAGCTCTCTCAAATATTTGCCGGTTTCTTAATGGCTCCGGTGTAAAGCAGCTTCAGGGACATTGTGATTGCCCTTCCCAAGCTTGCTTTTGCTTGGGGCTTGCAGAGCGGAGAGTCTGCCCATGGAAGCGGTGCTTGCAAGTCCCAGAAGCAAGCTGAAGACTAAAATAGGTTATGCCAGCACAAACACTGTGTGAATACTGAGTGCCTCTCCTGGAGAAAGAATTAATCCAAGCCGACATCACAGGGTGCCCTCCGATCAGCTTTACACAAAATGCTGGACAACACAGGTCAAACAAAGCCTTCAGAGCTGACAGGATTACCCTTAGCGCTGTTGATGGCCAGGGGGGCTGGGGGGGGATTGAGAAATAAACCTTTGATATTCTTAAAATCATTAGAGTTTAGCTGACTGAATAAATCAAAAGGATTTGAAAGGTAGTATATCATTTATGATTAATTTGCACATATATAATTTGCTCTGTGGTTTTGAACTTTTCCTAGGTGTTAAAGAATACTGGACTTGAAGCTTTTCAAGAGTCTATGATCAAAACGGACTCTAAAATAAGTTTTTACCTTGTGAATTTTGAAATGACACCAAATTTACATTTTCAATTTTTATCCGAGTAATTATATACTAAGAGTCTCTTCCAACATCCCTTTTGGTATGTCTTCTCATATAAAGAGGGGACCCTTGGTTACAAATGCTTCCTGGTTATCGGGAATATTGTTCAGGCTTGAGCCCAGGTCCCAGGTAGAAGCCCCTGTGTGAGGACTGGGAACCTGGCTTCCTGTCCTCTGGCTCATTACCTGATGGCCCCAGGAGAGTTACTCTCTCTTTATGCCAAGTGGGTTCACATTCCTCTTATTCTGAGGGTATGACAGCAAGAAGCAATGTTGAAAGCATAATGCAGTGACTCATGCCTGTCATCCTAGCTCTTGGAAGACTGAAGCAGGAGGATTACTGCAAGTTCCATGCCAGCCTAGGCTACAAAATAAGATTTTTTAAATCCCCAAACCAAACAATGACAGAAACCAAAACACCAAAACCAAACAATCAAAAACCCCATTACAACACTGGAATGCATAGGACTTAAGCCTCACAGAGAAGGCCTCTCTTACATTAGAAGCCCCCTAGGAAGTTGCCCACGTTCCCTCTTTGGTTCATGTTGTGCCATTAGGAGGTAGGTCACCCCTGTGCTCCTATCCTCACCAACCAGTGCTCTAAGCAATCCATTGCTACCAAATTGCATACAGCCCAGCTAACCCTAAGAAAGGAGAGTGAAGCCGACTTCTCCAAACAAGCTGGTGAGCATGCAAAATTGGAGCTGAAAAGATACACAGAAGAGGACACCATGAAGCCCACAGAGGAGGAGCACTTCTGTGACGGGAGCCCTGAGAGAGACAGGGGAGGAATGCTGGGCCACAAGCACTTAGCTCTTGGATGAGTATTGTGACCAAAAGAGCCCAAGTGAGGTTGGGCTTGGTAGTTCAGGCCTGAGGCAGGAGATTTCCAAGTTCAAGGCCAAGCCTGGGCAACTTACTGAGATCCTGTCTCAAAACCAAAACTAAAATGGGCCAGGGAAATAAAACAATGTCAGAGTACCTTCCAATAACCATGAGAGCCCAGGTTTGACCCTCAGCATCAGGGGTGAGGGGTGAGGGGTGAGGGGTGGCGGAAAAGCCCACGTGGTAACCAGTTCGAAGTCTGGGTCATACACTGAGAGATCTCTAGGACTGATGTGATCTCTGAATGAGCAACAGCCAGCATTATTGAAAATAACCAGAGAGAGGACTGGCAAGATGGCTCAGCAGGTAGAGAGGCCTGCAGCCAAGCCTGACCACCTGACTTCATTTTCTGGGACCTCCACAGTGGGAGGAGAGAGCCAACTCACACATGTTCCCTGACCTCTATTCACCATGGCACACGACCCTCCCTCCCAGTAAGTACGCACATAGATGTTGAAAGTGCCGGAGAAATGTGTAGAAGAGCTGTACAGGAGAGCCAGTCTACAGAACTGATGGTGGCTGCACCTAGTGCCATAAACCTGGGATGCGCTTGGGGCAGAGGCGGGAAGACGGGGCGCCCCGTTCAAGGTCATCCTGGTCCACAACAGACCAGGTGCAGGAGAGGGAGCCTCTCTTTCTCAAGATACTATGGATGTTACTATGTTGCTGGCGTTCACATCCTAAGGGATCTGCATTTCTCTTCTTTTCCACCGACAAGGAGAAATGACAGGAGGAAAAGTATTTTAAACACGTTGAAGAATGCCGTGGAGGAGGTAGACTAGATTCTGGACTTTTGGGGACTTCCCTGTGTGAATATTTAAGCTGAGCCCAAGGATAGCTGGGGAGGGGTAGGAAAGACCAGCTATGATATTTCACAACGCCAAGTTCTGAGAAAGCAAGCAGAGTCAGTTCTGACTTTCTGAGGAGCCAGGATGGGCAGGTTCCTGTCCCAAATGCCTATTGTACCTGTGTTCATTGAGTTGAATAGACTCTGGGTCTGGGTCATTTTTGTGTGTGGCATTCTTATTTATTTGCAAGTTATCCCTTAAGTAATAAAGTTTATACAGCTTAGAAACATAGGGAAGCTAGAGATCTGGCTTAGTGCTTTAGAGCATACGTTGCTCTTGCAGAGGACCTGGGTTCAATTCCCAGCACCCACACGGCAGCTCACAACTGTCCGTAACTCCAGTTCTTGGGCATCTAACGCCATCTCTGACACACGTGTGGTGCACATACGTAATGCAGGCAAACCACTCATAATTACCACCCTAGTTTTGTCTCTCTGCCTTTAAGGATGTAGAAGTGCTTCGTGGTTTATGGAAAGTTCCATAAGGATAAGCTGACTACACACTGATTAGCATCTTCCACAGGGAGAGACTTTGGATGTGACTTGAAGGCCATGGATCATGCAGGAAGCAGATAGTGTGGAGGCTTCAGGACTCGAGGACTCCAGACCTGCTTCTCAAAGGCCTGCCATCAACGAATCACAGCTCACAATCCATCTCTGAAGCCACGTCTATATTTCAAATGTGTGCTCGACAGATTGGAGAAGGATTTGTTTGTCTATACAGACAAGCCCTGGGAAAGCACTGACTACTGAACAGACAACGCTCGCCCCCATTACTGAGATTGGAGGCCATTAAGGGTGGACCCCTCTCTCCAGGTGGGCTTCAGACCCCACCTCCTGTTTTCTTGTTAACACTAGGATTTAAATTACAGTATAAAGAGGTGGTGCTGAATCTGGACCTTGTTGAGGCCCTTCAAAGCAAAGTTATTCCTCTGATTAAAAGAATAGGATCTGAGTTCTACTGCGACCCTAGGTGGGGACTTCACAGTCTAAGATACCCAAAACCTTATATACTATCCTCTCCTTTTAAGGATTACAGCTGAGCCTGTCAATCTCTTGAGTAGGAGAGCTAGTTCACACTAAGACTTGCTAAGGAGAGGGGAGGACTCATTGTCCCCTTAACGCAGCAGCCTCTTCCTCAGGGTGCTTGAGGCACCTCTATGAGCAGCATGGCAAAGCTGTCCTAACTTGGCCTTTTCCTCCCTTCAGATATTGGCCTAAAGCCTGCACATGCTTCCTGGATCTCCAGGCTTTCTTGCTCTTTCTCTGAAGGTCTTGAACTTCCCCCATGCAGGTGCTTGCTGGCCTCAATCGCAGATGGTGTGGCTCTCTCCCTCTTCACCACCTCTTCCTGGCAGTTGCCAAGATCTACAGCTTGCCTGCCCTGTTGGCTTTCCCATAGACACTCATAAAATCTTCCCGAGGCTTCCTTCTGAGTCTAAGAAGAGGTTTCCCTGGCAACACTGCTTTCCAGGGCTGCCCAGACTACAGAAGCTTCAGACAAGCATTTAGGAAAAGAACAGATCGCTCTACAGTTAAAATAAGATGGTGTCACATATGTCAAAGGGACAAAGTCTTGTGAGAACGAGGGGATGGGAAAGAGGGGCGGAACACAAGTAGCTGTCAAGTAAGAATAAAAGCTGAAAAGTTCCTCTTAGGGTCAGCAGATGGCCTTGTGCCACCAGCGAGAACCGTTTTAGGGGACCAGTGGGGAGAAAAGCCAGACTGCATCACAAGATGAACAAGAGACAAGGAGTTGGAGGATTGGGACACAGGTTTTTCAATGAGGGGTAATTAACCTTAAATAAGATGATTATAAAGACTGGCAGGTAGCAGCCAGCATTTAGGTGCAGATTAAAAGAAATGTCTTAATAACAGAAGCGGGGGTGATTTATTAAACTACTTAAGAAGTTTGGTAGGTTCCAGAACATCTGAAGTACCATAGGTCTCTTTTCCTAGTCTGTTAAAGCCTCCTCAGTTCTGACAGTATACATCTACATGATTAATATCAGAAGGAAGGAGATGTCAAGTAAGATTAAAAGCTGAAAAATCCACCCCCCATGTTAAGCAGAGTGGTTATTGATGATGCTGGTGGCATGAACAATTTCAGGGAGCTGAGGAAGACAAAGGCCAAAAAAGATTTTTAAAAAGTCTTTGATCATACATATTAATGCGTGGTTATGTAACACATGCAATTAGCTTCAAAGTTTCAAAATAGCACTTTTGGTTACTTATGAGTTTGCTTTTTAAAAAAGTGTGTGTGTATGCATGTGTGTGTGTGTGTGTGTGTGTGTGTTGGGGGTATGTGTGTGTTGGGTGTGTGCGTGTGTATGTGTGTAGTGTGTGTGTGTATGTGTGTGTGTGTGTTGGGGGTATGTGTGTGTGTTGGGTGTGTGCTTGTGTGTATGTGTGTAGTGGGTGTGTGTGTGTGTGTATGTGTGTGTGCTGGGTGTCTTTCTCCTGGTGGAGGGCTTGAGCTCTTGGCCACCTGCTTGCCTGGGTGACTTCTGCCACCACGCGCTGCCTTGTTTTTTGAAACGGGTGTCTCACCGACCCAGGGATCACTGGTTAGCTGAACTGTCCAGCCCCAGGACCCACCTTTCCTCCCCACCCTCCCCTCAGCGCTGGCACTGCTAGTGCACACAATCATACATGACTTTG